GGGGGGGGGGGGAAGGGGTACACGATGGAAGATTCTTATTGCGATGTCTTTGTTGAGTATGTTGAGGTTTGTGATGCGTTTTAACCCATGCGACGTATTCTGTGCGAACTACCGATTCAATCACACTATTTTTTTTCCTAGTTCTTATTCAAGTTGTTCTTAGTGAATATATATATATATATATTTAGTTATTTATTTATTTTTGTAGGCTCCTCCATTATCATACCTAGTCACCCATCTCTCAAATAGAACATTTATTCTGGGCTGTATCTTTTCCATCTCCCGCGGACGTCGATTTCTAGGCCAATTATTCCTAATCCTATTATTATTATTATTATTATTATTGCTGTTGTGGTGGTTAAGGCGTTTTAAACCAGACCTCGATTGCGCGATCGATGCGGTGTGTTTCCCGGAGATGTCCCGTGCTGCCGCGGGGGTTGGCCGTGTGGGGTGGGCCGCGCCGTTGCAGTACCGCCGCCGCCGCCCAGGCCCCCGCGCCCCCCCCCTCCCCCGAGCGACGAGGGCAGCAAAACGCTCATTCGGAACATGAAGCCGCGGGAGTTGATGAAGGAGCTGGACTGCTATATTATCGGCCAGATGGACGCGAAAAAAGCCGTCGCGGTGGCGCTGCGGAACCGGTGGCGGCGCCACCAGGTCGCGCCCGACATGCGCGAGGAGATCGCGCCGAAGAACATGCTCATGATGGGCCCGACAGGGGTGGGCAAGACGGAGATCGCGCGGCGCCTGGCGAAGCTCGTCGACGCCCCGTTCGTCAAGGTCGAGGCCACGAAGTTCACCGAGGTCGGCTTCCACGGCCGCGACGTCGAGAGCATCATCGAGGACCTCTACAAGACGGCGCTGAACCAGACCAAGCAGAACATCCGCCGCCAGCATAACCAGGTCGCGCAGATCAAGGCCGAGGACCGCATCCTCAAGGCCCTGGCGGGGGTCTCGGACGGCTTCCGCGAGCACCTCCGCAGCGGCGCCCTCGACGACATCGAGGTCATGGTCGAGCTCCAGGAGAAGAAGGAGAAGCCGAAGTCCGCCTCCGGGGACGGCGTCTTCATCTCGCTCGACATCCCCTCCATCATCGGCGGGGGCCAGCGGGTGCAAATGGAGAAGAAGGTCCTAAAAATCAAGGACGCGATGCCGGCGGTCCTGCAGGAGGAGCTGGACAAGATGGTCGACACCGAGGACGTCACGGCCGAGGCGCTGCGCGCCTGCGAGGAGGACGGCATCGTCGTCATCGACGAGATCGACAAGATCGTGACGGCCGCCGGGGGCTACAAAGGCCACCAGGCCTCCGCCGAGGGCGTCCAGCAGGACCTCCTCCCCCTCGTCGAGGGCACCACCGTCTCCACGAAGTTCAACGTGCAGGTCCGGACGGACAAGATTCTCTTTATCTGCAGTGGCGCCTTCCACAGCGTCAAGCCGTCCGACATGCTGGCCGAGCTCCAAGGCCGCCTCCCGATCCGCGTCGAGCTGCAGTCCCTCACGAAGGAGGATTTCTACCGCATCATCACCGAGCCCAAGTACAACCTTATTCTCCAGCACAAGGCGATGATGGCGACCGAGGGGGTGCTGCTCGACTTCACCGACGACGCGCTGTGGGAGATCGCGCTGATGTCGGCGCAGATCAACTCCACCGTGCAGAACATCGGCGCCCGCCGCCTCATCACGATCATCGAGAAGGTCGTCGAGGAGATCAGCTTCGACGGCCCGGACCGCAAGGGCGAGCACTTCGTCATCGACGCGGCCTACGTCAAGAAGGCCGTCGAGCCCATGGCGAAGAAGACCGATATTAAGAAGTTCCTCTTGTAGGCGCGACCGATCTTCGCGCCCTCCGTTCAGGGTCCCCATTCACGGCCTTTTCCTTCCCGGGCTTCACCGTCGCCTTGGGGTCGTCCATTTGAGATTAATAAGTAATTCAATAAATCCATCAATAAATGAATCGGTATCCATATATATCTATATCTATATATAGATATCGATTCATTTAGTTCTTTTCAATGTGAATCGATGACTTTTCCTTTTTATTATTATTATTAGCGCTATCGGTTGCTGTGTTTGTTGGCGCTGAAATTCCTTAGGTATCCTTTGGTTCACGATGCACCAATCGCCGAACTTGCCGAATTGCATCATTGCGATTCGAGATGGGAGGGCTACCGCTAAAGAGAGACTTTCCGAATACGCAAGGTGCGTGGGGTTTTTTTTCACGCTCGCGATTTCGTGCACTCCAAAGGAACGCCCATTCACCACGACAACGATGCCGCATCCCAGTGAAAGAGAGGAAGCTCAATTCCGCGCATGCGATTCGTTCTATTTCTGTGATACAACACTTTTCGCTACCCTGCAGGGTTATTTATCTATCGATCGATTGACAGATACCTATTGCTATATCCCTATCTGTATAAATCGGTCGATATATACATATAATTACAACAACGGTGCTAATGGGGCTAAAATATATTTACAAAATTGTCAGATTAGATTGGGAGCTTAGAATAAAAATATAAAGTGATGTTTACCAGTAGAAAAAAAGTTGAAGTCTCCTGTCATTGCACCTGACAGCCTTTTTTATCTTTCCTTTTTTTTATTATTATTGGTCGTAACTGCAATGTTAAACCATTTTTGTGTGCTCATGGGACGAACCCCACCCAATTTGCGTTTGGACTGCGTGTTTTTCAGGCCGCGGCGAGAGCCCGCGGCCTGTGGAGCGACTATGCCTGTGTATTCCTAGCTGCATCGACTTCTCTTTACTCCCACGCTTGCGTTCTTCTCTTGGTGGGGGGCTCGCGCGGATTGCGGCCGCGCCCACCCAAGCCTTAGGTCGGCATAGGGTTTCTTTTATCGCGATGCGGCGGAGCGGTTTTTGGGGCCACAAAATGCCCAAAAACGCCGGCGTCGCGCCGCGCTTCGACACGTGGAATGAGAAGTACGAGCCGTGGGTGCAGCTGAGGCGGATGGGGCGGCTGGTCGGGACCGGCTTCTACATCCCCCCGGCGTGGTACGACCATTTCCGGATGTTCCCCCCGATCAACCACAACTTCCCGCAGGAGCGGACGCTGAACCCGCAGAACGAG